CTTGCAAATATATTTTACTAGAATTTATTATGGCTATAATTTAAATTGAACATGAAGTACAGTTTTTCCCCTGTTCACAATTTCCCCTGGAACTTTAGATTGATCAATTGAATTCCAGATTTTTCCTCTTCTGAAGACTGTGATTATTTGACTATAGGGTAAACAAAGATTTTTTTTAAAGAATTAACTAGAAAAGACAAGCTTTCTACTCATAGTATAGTGTGTACACTTGATGGAGCCCTTCAAATACCCAAACTTGTTCGCTGTTGCACTAATGTGCCTTGGGAAAATATCTGAAGCTCCTCATGTCTCATTCTCCTTCCTTATCTAGAAAATGGGGATAAAAATACTCTTGAGTAACCTTGTGGGGCTGTTTGTGGAATTAAGTTTAATAATGGCCATGACAACGTTGTATAAATTAACGAAGAGCTAGATAGATGGGAAGGGTTATTCTCAGTATTTTTTTCTTTGCACTATTCTCATTCATTACACATTTCTTGTGTTTTAAGAGAAGCCATAAGTGTGATATTTTCAAAGCAAATGCATCTCAAAACTGTGGGCAGATCAGCCTCCATCTGGCCAAACAGCACCGTTTTTGAAATTAACAGCCCAAGATGGACCTAAGTGTTGAAGAGTCATCCAGTGTTGTACTCTCCGGCTGCCTGCTGAGTCACCTGTGAAGCTTGGCTACAGACTGGAGTAAGGGAAAATGAAATAAAAGGCTTGGGTGTATTAAGATGGCTTCTCTTCTCCTATTTCTAAAGATGTGTAATGCTTATGCCAGTTTAGGCAAACACAATCCTGATTATTTACATGGCATAATGGAAGCAAACACTCAAGGAGAAAGAAACCTGATGCTTTTACTCAGCGTGATCTAAACCATTATCTCATGTTTTCTATGGAAAACAGTTTCAGCCGAGAAATTTGGTAACTCAGTAGGCTATTAATAGGATGTGGAATGTGATTACTCCTTTTGGATTACTTCAATATGTAATTACTTTTAGGAGCTAGCAAAGAGACTCTATTAAATGATAATTATAGGACTGTATTTGCTTTAAGGTTTTGTAATACCTCTAAACATAGGAGTTTTCATTAAGTGTTTGCCATAGTTAATAAAGTCATTTTTCTTAAAAAGTAGCAATTCGCTCAAAAGTGGTAGCTCTGCATAGTATTAGTTTTTTACAGGAAAGGGCAGAGGAAACAGACTGTGTACTGGGCTGGCTCATCTTTTTGAAAATACCAATGGCATTCCTGAAGTACTGTGACAAAGTAAAATACTTACAACTCCCTAGAGAACACTCCATCTTGGTATCATGTTTTCAGAGGGTTAACAGCAACTAAATATTACCGCACACATAAAAGAGAAAGAAGACAAGGCAGGTGATGGAGGTGACGTTGGCACAGTGAGAAAAGCCTAGAAACACCTGCTGGGTCAGGAGGTGTCCAACCATATAGAGATGTTGCTGGGCATCCATCCAGGAGTTAGGCTTCAAATGTTAGTTGGGGATTATAAGAAAACACAGATAAAAGTATGCCCACAAATATTTGAGTAAACAGATCATAAGAGGGGGATGGCATAAGACACATGTTAGAACAGTGGAGTTTTCCAAACAACTGAGTCGATCACCTCACTTTTCATAAAACCAAATGTACGCTGAAATGTTTTATAAGTATCTCCTTCACCACAACACTGACAAAAGCCTAGGCTCGTGGCAATGTGGCAATCAACCTATCACAAAATAGTTTGGGAATTAGGAGAAATCCAAGAGTGGAAGCAGGGATTCCCATAAACTCAAACGAAGTATACCCATATCTTAGAAAGTGTTATGGGAACACTATGTGTGCTACCTTGTTCAGTTCAGCTGAGTAAGCATTTCTTGAATGCCCACTACATGTGAGGTCTTCCTTCTTTGGAGGAATGCATATTTACAAAAGGAAATTCTTAGATTATACACATGTACCCCTGGAGGTACGTGAGCTCCCAGTCAAGAACTACTCCTCTATCTCAGTGGCCTGCAGACTTAACTCTCAAAGGGGCTTAAGGCACTCACATGTGCCCATAAACCAAAGCTAACAAGTAAAAGAAAACTCTTAGATGAAATATAAAATTAAAGCATTCCAAGTACCATTTCTATTTTGAAATTATAGGAATCATTTAGTGACAGGTTGTTTCATAGGGTTCCTTTAAAACACAGGTCTGTCGTATTAACTTTCTTCACACCCAGGCTCTCAAGAGCATGTCCACTGCAGAAAGCAAAGCATCAGGAGAGAAAATCTGTCAGCACCTAGGACATTTTATCCCACAGTCCCTTTTGATATGTGCTTGATTTTACAAGGCCATAATTAAATGCTGAAATCAGTTCCAGAAATAAAAATGCAGTATGCTAGATCATATCCCCTCAACTCCAAGCAGGATGGGGAACTTCTTTCCTCTAATAATCAACCCAGTAGGGACAGTGCTTAGGGTTGTAACGTCTTGCCTCTGAAAACCTGGGTTTAAAACCTAGGTCTAACTCCTATGTGGCTCATTGAATTTGAACAAGTTACTTGATGGTTATGTGCCTCATTTTCTTCATCTTCAAATGGGAATGATAATAATGACATTTACCTATGGTGTGTTGAGGGAAAGAAACGGATGGAGTGTGGGAAGGGTCTTGGCATGTGGTTTGGAACACAGCTACCAAACATAGTTTGGTATTTATGATTCTGATGAGTGATAACAGAGATGGGGAAAGCAAAAATACTTATTAGGTTAATGTAAGCTCCTATACGCCTGATCTCAGTCACTGGGAAAGCAGTCAATCTATAACCTAGTACTGTGTGGCTAATGAAAGCATGTGTGCTCAGGAGGACTACCTTCTAGTCCTATGTCGAACGATGGCATTTGTCTTCCTGCTTCTACAAACTGCATTGTCACGGGTTTCTAGGGACAGCTGTAGACCAACATAGCCTGCCCAGAAGTCAAGAAACTTATTTTCTGATCCTGGCTTGGTACCAACTTTATCAAGGGACTGTATCAGTTTGGGCCTATATGGAAGAACAGCTACTTCAAATAATTTGTAAGTCTAGAACCTCTTTGATGAAATGAGAAGCAGGCATGATATTGAATTTCACCATGTCTACAGTGGCCAAACAATGCTCTGTTCATGCCCTTCAGGCAATAATTCTGCAACCATCTTTAGGTAACAAGCTATGAACCCAACCATACTGCATTAAAACCATGCTTGGGAGGGAAGGCCAGCTGAAAGATTACATTGCCTTACAAAGTTGAACTAATCTCTTATAATGCTTTATTTGATATCAATATTCATTAAGCCATGCTCCCCCCAAGGGTTTATCAACCTCTTAAAAAAGATAAATGAGGTTGTTTGCATATTGACCCTGTAAGCTTCCCCACTTGGTTTCCCCACTGCTTCTTGAATATCAAAGCCAATAAAAAAGTAAAATAAAATTACACTCACTTATTCATATGCACCAAATGAGCCCACACGTCTCAAAATAAAGGTGGCATTATTACTTCTTGTTTGTTCTTCAACAGACAGGCATTATTAAGATTAGGGAAAACACTTGTGTTCTGCAATATAAAAGCCATTCATTCTCCATTTCTATTTCTCTGAATGCATAGGAACTGTGGTACGAACCTCTGTTGTCTCTGACTGTGAAATTTGGATTGTGAATGATTTCAGGGGGTAGACTGAAGATAAATCTTGGTCCATTGGCTGTGTCATCCTTGTCATCTGCACTAATTGTAACAATTGGCTGAAAGAGAAAGGTGGCCCATAAATAAATCATGCTGACATTGGCACATCATTTATTCAAAAATTCCGAGCTGGCTGAGAAGCCTGGGTTTAACAAGAGCACAGCTACAGAGCTTAAACTAGGGCTCTGAAGACCTCTTGGGCAGCAGCAGGTATCTCCAGGTGAAGCTCTCAAGATCAAACTCTGTTTCCAAATTGCTTGTACAAAGCCAGAAAAAGGGAAGGCATCATTACCTGGTTAGAAAGTGGCTTGGTCTGATCACTCTCACAGATGAAGCCTTCATAAGGGGCGGCAAACTTGGGGGCATTATCGTTGACATCAAGGACCCTAATGGCCACTGGCACTTTGGCTTCCTGATGCCGGTTGTCTGAAAGAAGAGAATTCAGACAGTAAATACAAGCCCTCCAGGATATTCTAATGTGTGATCAAGTTTGAGAACCACTGGTCTATAGGTACACAAGCATCCACAAATCTAGGCTCTAAGGATTTAAACAATACTGAGTGGCAGCCTAAAGTGGGGAGTCCCCCAGTGATGGCTATAGTGTCAAGATCTCACTTGCCAAATCTATACCCAGTTCTGCCAGAGAAAATGAAAATATCTCTACGTGTTTATATGTCCTCTTCGATACATGACCAAGAATAAATTTTAAACAGTGAAAAATATGCTTAAGACTAAAAAATGTATTCTATCTCAGCTGTCTGTTATTTTCCAGAATATATATAGAGTCTGATGGAATAAAACTTGGTAAAGTAGAATCAAAACCCTTAGGAGAATACTTACGGATTTCTGCTGCAAAAACGGATATGTTGAGCCAGGCAGTTTCCTCTCTGTCCAAAGGTTTTGTGGTTTTAATAAAACCATCCTCTGGATTAATAGTGAAAAACCTGTCGAGGTCAGTATGACGATCGATGGAATACCTAAGTGGAATGCAAATAAGGCAATTAGATGGAGACATTCTGAGCAGCTTAATATTTGAATATTTTCTCCATGCTATATTTAAAATAACTTTTTCAATGGATTGCTTCAACTAGGTTTCCTTTTTAATCAAATTTACTTTTTAAACTTCATACATGAATCTTTTATAGAAATCATTCTGCTGCATTGGGCTTCTTTATTCAGTACAATGAATGAAAGAGCTGTTTAGCATATTTGATTGAGAAACGTAATGACATGTTGCATATTTCTTCGTATTTACTACAATCCTCCACCCTCTGAATATTTATGAAACTGCATTTGGGAAGTGGGATTGCCCAAACTACTCAGAAAGTCATAAATGCATCAAACTGTTGCCAGATTTTTGCATACAAAATATTAAATAGTTTCAAGTTTACCTGAATTTATCATAAAGGAGCATTTATGGTACTAAAAAATCAGTTTTCTCCTTATTTAAAGAAAAATGCTAACTCTAGTTTGAGTGAATTTATTTAGTTTATTTATTTGGTTTTAGGGGTTCTCAGGTAGCCTGGGTCTGAATTCCATGATGAAATATGCAAAGCAGTCTTGGTCATTCATCTGTAGAGTGTTCTCCTCATACTTTTATGACGGGCTGTGCCTAATAGCCTAGCCGGAAGGTTTTTAACTACTCCTGTCCACTTAGAAAGCTTGTTTGTTTTTGTAAGAAAAGAGAAAATAATTTCCAGAATATTACTGGACCATGTTTATGGCCCAGTGAGGAGGGAGACGGAGCAAGAAGAATGACCTTTATTGAGGTGTAGTGAGGTAAAATAGCTTGTCCGGGATATCCAGAGTTGTAAATACCAAAGTGCTGGCTTTAATATGTCTGTTCAACACCAAAGCCCCTTTCCTTTTCACTCCACCACACTGTCTCCAAAATGAGGAGCAAAAGTGGTTATATTAAGTCGGATATATTACTGGGTTCATAATTGGGTGGCTTCCTGCTGTTGGAGGGCTTAGCTGCAGTTTCCTAAAGTTTACAGAATATATATGTCTGAAGGTATTCATCGAAGGTCATAAAAGTCAAGATATATTAAAGGTGGCAAAGACCATGGATGTCAGAGTTTAATCTCTTCCATTTACAAATGATGGGATTTCCAAATGGCCTATTATCTCGTTTCTGGGGGAGCCAACATGAGAACTCAAATCTTCCAATTCTAGATCATGTTGCTTCCAAGAAAGAGGGTTCCACTCATGGAGCAGCACTTCACGGTATAAAAGACACGAGTTCGTCTGTGATGTCATTAGACTGTGAAGCTCCGTATGGCAATGGAATGATGAGTCCCCTTCCCCAGGGAGGAAGCTGAAGAGAAACCAGGTACACATGCCTCGCAAATGTCAGGAGAGGCTCAGTAACAGAGCCTTCAGCGGGTAGCCTTCTGTGAAAAGGAGGCAAAAATAATAGATTTTTTCCCCTGCCACCAGGGAGTTTACTATCTAGTGGACATGACAAGACACAGTAACTGGGAGAAAGATAATTAACAATCAAAGCATTATTCTCTAGAAGCGAAGGGCATGAATTTTGGTTTTATAAAGTCCTAGATTCAAGTTCATGCTTCAGTACATCTAAGCTTGGTGATATTGGAAAAGTCCTTAGGTTCTATGAATCTTAGCTTACTTATCTTTTAAACTGGATTATTAACAGTACCTAAGTTTTAGCTTGTCTGTAAGAATTCCATGAAATTATAGATGTTAAGATATATAACCTAGTGCCTTGCATACTGTAAGCAGTACAACAAATAATAGTTGCTTTTCTTTTTTTTTTTTTAAGTTTCTTTTAGAGAGAGAGAGAGGAACTAGTGGGGGAGGGGCAGAGAGAGAAGGAGAGAGACAGTCCCAAGCGGGCTCTGTGCTGTCGGCGCAGAGCCCAATGAGGGGATCAAACTCACAAACTGTGAGATCGTGACCTGAGCTCAAACCAAGTTGGAAGTTTAACCGACTGAACCACCCAGGCGCCCCTGCTCTTATTTTGTTGTTGCTGTCACACACTGTGGACAGATCATGGAAGTTCTTCAATGTCAGTCTACGGAATATGACCTTTATCCTATAGCCAGTGAAGAATCATAGAGGGCTTTTGATCAGAGGAACAATACATGGAATCAGGCTGTCAGGGTGATTAATAAGGTAGGGTGGGCAAGATGGTCTGAGCAAGAGAGAATGGAGGAAGTGCAGAGAGACTTAGCATCTGAATGAGGTGTTGGGGACACAGGCACTGGTATAGGAGTGAGAGGGAACACAAGATTGTGTGATGAAGATAGCACCATTAGGACTCAGCTGATACTTGGAAGGCTGGGAGAGTCCCAGAGAGTTTCTAGCTTGAATGTCATGTCGGAGAGAGGGAGACATTGAGAAACACAAAAAGTCACCTTAGCAGAAAGGAGAGAGATTAGAATTCCACCAGAGATATGCTGCCATGTTAGGAGAGTAACAAGTCAGCTCTCCCTCAAGTTTCACAGAATCAAGGTGGTGTCAGACTTTAAGTATGTCACAATAAGTATGAGCTCAAAAATAAGTTTAAATAAATGAGAGAGCCAGGGAAGGAAAAGGCAAGTGTGTGAAAAGTCACAGCAGAGAGCAGAATAGGTGCAGAGCAGAATCAGGGAGAAAGATCAGCCCTAAGGCAGAGAATCTGGAGCCTTAACTCAATTCAGCCATGCCTGGGTAGGAATGCTCTTGATGAGAGGACAGAGAGAGAAAGATCCAGGTCAAAAGCATGCATCTCAGGGAGCTCCCACTACCTGGACAGGGATCAAACATCAGTGAAGACCCGAGGGTGGTGCTATCGGAGGCAGGAACAGACTACTGCCAAGAAAGGTGAGAAGAGAGACTGTCTCAAAAAGGCAGCAGTGAAGAAAAGTTGTCTAATGCTACAGAGTCTGCAAAGCCAGATCTGCAAAATTTCCATGCAGCTAAGAGTCTGTTGGACACTATAGTGTCCTACCCACAAGTCCAAGGACACAAGTTCCCATACAGGTGAAGATAAACAATCAGGAAAATAGGTAGTGCGCATAGTGCATAAAAAGCTTTGAATGTTCTATAAATTCTTTGAGGAACAGGGACTGAGCGGGTAAGGTGGGGGGTTGGTTCAAGGGCCGTACTGAGCATCTTTGGATAATTATAGATACGGAAATTGCCTACTTGCACACAACAGCCACCATTGAAAACATGACCCAAATAACCAATTGCAGATGTGGATCCTGGAGACATGAGGCACAGAGGAAATGAGCAATTGTTCCAAGCGTTTTTACGTCATTGCTCTTCCAAAACGTTGCTAATGCGCCTAGCCAAGCCTAACTCATTTAAAACCCACACCGCAGACATTTTTGAGTAGTTTCAAAGTGTTGTTACACTGACCCTCAGTCATGACATAATGGATCTTTCTGCATAGAGAAAAGACCACACTCAAACCTTCTTGGGAAATCTTCCCATTGGTGGCTGTTTGGCTAGAGTAAGAAGCTCAAAATGGACCGAAGGCAGATCTGAACTAAAATCCAGCCTCCAGTACCCACTGGCTGTGGCGCCGAAGAACTCACATCATCCCTTTGAGCCTCAGTACTTCCATCTGTTGCATCCTAAAGTAGTCAGGGCTTCAAAGGATGTCTGAGGATTAGTTTAAATAACTTAGTGCAACACATTGTCTGGGGCTGAGAAGATGTTCATTAAAGGATAATTCTCTTCCTTTCTCCTAAAAGGGATATTCAAGGATTTAAAGGCAACTAACATTTTCATTTGGGATTTCCTCCTGCCCTTTCAGCATTTTCTTTGGTGTCAATAGAAAAACTCCCTTGTCCGTGGTAATTGTTTTCATGTTCATATTTGTTTCCTATTTTCCCTCTACTGAGATTTGATTGACAAATAATATGTAATGTAGGCAATGTGGCATTTTGATATAAGTGTACCTTGTGTAATGATTACCATCGTCAAGGTAATTAACATATTCATCACCTCTCATGGTTACCATTTTGTGTCGTGTGTGATGAGAACACTTAAAATGGACTCTTAGAAAACTTCAAGTATATGTTATTAACTATAATCACCAGGCTGTACATTAGATGTCTGGAGCTTATTTATTTTATAACTGTGAGTTGTACCATATGGCCAGTATTTCCCCATTTTCCCATCCCCAGTCTTTAGAAACCACCATTCTACACTCTGTTTCTCAAAGTCTGACTTTTTTAGATTCCACTTACAAGTAATGTCATGCGATGTTTGACTTTCTATGTCTGACTTATGTCTTTTAGCATAATGTCCTCCAAAGTCCTCCAAATTATCACAAATGATGGGATTCCCTTTTCTTTTTAAGTCTAATTTTCTTTATTCATTCATGCATTGACAAATACTGCGGTTGTTTCCATGTCTGGGTTATTGTGAATAATGCAGCAGTGAACATGGGAGTGAAAATATCTCTTCAAGACAGAGCCATTATGGAAAACAGTATAGAGGCTCTGCAAAATGCAGATGGCAGCTGGATCTTTTCTAAGGGCTACAGTTTACCAACCCCAGAACCAGGCAGGCAGTCCCCCTTTGAGTGTGCCAAGGACAGCATACAGCATAAGGTGTCGCTGTGATTTTGCACAGTGAGCACTGTGAGGTGGAAACTGCATCTGATCCATGAGGCGGATGTCCCAGAAGAATTTCTAGAACAGGTGACACTGAAGTGGAAGTGGGAAAAATGAGTACCGTGTAGCAAGTTTGAAAGAAGGAGGGGCAGAGCTCCCACCTGGAGGGAGAACATGTACAGGTGGGAAGCAGGAACGTGTAACGAGCAAGTTCTGCCTCAGGAATGGGAAGTGGCCCAGTCTAGCTGCAATGGAGAGTCTTATGCCAAGAGGGAATAGATGGAAAATGAAAGAGATGAATAGGACACGGCAGCCACCGGGGTGCAGGGGTGCAAAGAAGAGCCTGCCACTAAATAAGAGAGTTGGGATTATTCTCATGGGAGCAGCAAGGGGGAAACAATTGGATCACTGATAACCAAGTGTGGAGTATGATGTGATATTTAGATGTGCTGTTACAGATGCTCAATCTGCGGGCGCCTGGTGGCTCACTTGGGTAAGCATCTGACTTTGGCTGAGGCCAAGATCTCGCAGTTCATGAGTTCAAGTCCCACAATGGGCTCGCTGCTGACCGCAGGGAGCCCACTTCGGATCCTCTGTCCCCTTCTCTGTGCCCTTCCCTCACTCATGCGCATGCCCTCTCTTTCTCTCAAAACTGAAAATAACATATTTTTTTAAAATGCTCAATCTGGCTAGAGAACAAAAGAATGGTGGGTGAGAAACTGGAGGCAGGGAGACCAGGCTGAAGCAGGGAAGAAGTCCGGGTAATACAGGAAGTAACAGAGGGGCCATGGATGAATAAACACCTGCTAGGATCCGACACCTAGGTAGGTTTCAGGCAGCTGTGCCCTTCTGCCCCGTACATAGCTTGGATCTGTGACAAGCCTTCTTCTCTGACAATTTTCCTCACCTCCTCATGTCCTTCATCATCTTCATCAGCCTCACTGTTCACTAACACAGGTTGAGGAAAGGGGAAGGCAGGCTTCTGAATCATTTTTCTAGCTAGTTTTTCTAAGTCACAAAAACATCATAATAAGAAAAGCACCCCAAATTTGTGTGGCCCTCTGTTATCTCTTCCAAGTGCCCTGTAGCCATTAGACAGAGCTTGCTCTCCTGGCCTCCTGTTCACTGGCTGTGTCGCTCTGGGCAAGTCACTTTGCCTTGACCATGTCCCCTCAATTTAAGTGAAAATTCCTATAGAATAAAATTGAGAGGATACATTAGAGTATCTGCCTAACATACCTAATGGAGTAACTGGAGCATGGAAAGGTGTTCCATAAATTGTAATGACTATAATTAGTTCACAGTCCTTATCCATACTTCGCTACGGTTCCCCGAGACAAGCCTTGCTATGCATTGCACCACCGTGTACACTGGGAAGTCTGCTGCAGACAGAAATTATGTAGTTTGAACAAACTCATCCAAAAAGTAGCAGAGGGGAAGTAGAATTCACACCTTCCAAATCGTAGTCTTGTTTACACTGCATTGAACCTGATCATCTTGGATCCTTTTTGAAACTGAAGGATGTGCTTCCCTCAGGACTTTCCTGAAACGTCTTTCCTCTAAAATTCCTCATCCCGGGCTCTTAAATAAATGTCTGTACCTTATCGGGCTGTTGGCAGCATCGGGGTCTTTGGCGTGCACTCTCCCAACCACAGTGCCAGCCGCTGCATTTTCTTGGACTTCATGGATATAACTTGGGGCCAAGAACATGGGGGGCTCATCAGCATCTTCCACTGCAATCTTGACCGTCACAGTGTCCTTGAAAGGCCCGTTGCTGATGAACTTTGGGTCGATGTGCACATTGGCTGCCTCTACCTTCAAGCTGTATGCTCTTTTGGTTTCAAAATCTACAGGCTGGCAAGAAAGAAGACATGATTGGCAACCGGTTCCTTGAAAGAATCATGGAGGAAAAAGACCGGATTGTTTTACAGGGCAGAGTGAATAGTTCCTCAAAGGGAGAAAAATCAGTGTCTATTCAATATCCAATTACCTGAGCCATTTGGTCAGAAAATCAGACAAATCAACTGCTGAAATCTGGAATGTGCTTAATGGGTAATTCCATGAACACAATAGACACAGAAGGACCACATCATAGAAAATGAACTTCATTCTACATAACAACAATAAGGCTGTCCAAATCATTCACCAAAATCATCTAAGGAAAGAAATTAAAACACTACAAAAGCAAATATTGTAGCCCATTCTGTAAAGTTCTAAGAATATTCATAATAAAAATACCCACTGAATTTCAGCAAAAGTACGTCTTGTTAGATGGCTGTTGTCCTCTAAACGCACACACACACACACACACACACACACACACACACACAGAGCTGGGTTAATCATATTGATAGCTTAATTTTTAATTTTCTGACCATTTCCCAAAGTCTGTGATCCTTACCAACACTGGCCCTTAAAATGACTTCAAGTGGGGGCGCCTGGGTGGCGCAGTCGGTTAAGCGTCCGACTTCAACCAGGTCACGATCTCGCGGTCCGTGAGTTCGAGCCCCGCGTCAGGCTCTGGGCTGATGGCTCAGAGCCTGGAGCCTGTTTCCGATTCTGTGTCTCCCTCTCTCTCTGCCCCTCCCCCGTTCATGCTCTGTCTCTCTCTGTCCCCAAAATAAATAAACGTTGAAAAAAAATTAAAAAAAAAAATGACTTCAAGTGGTTTATGAGTAATTTCGGTGGATGGATTTGTTGAATGACATTAACTTACTTATTAAGTTACTTATTGATACTATTATTCCTTTTCTAATTCTTCCATTACTAAAAACATCAGGGATACATCAGTATACCTCAGTATATGCTACTTTTTAACATATATGATATGCTTCCTAATCTCCTTTTGAGAGGCACTGATTCAACTGTTGAGCTAGAATGCAACAGCATCATTTTGTTTTGCTTGCGTTCATTTCTAGGTTATCTTCCATTTGTGGCAAGTCATATAGGCCAATGAGAATAACACTTCCTTGTTAAAAAAATGCATATATGTTTAAAAGGAGCCCCCTCAAGGGCAAAAATTATCAACAGTATAGATTTTACACAGATTCAAAAAAAATTAAGAAGTAGTATTTGAACGACTGCAGTTCTGGAGAAATTGACGGTAAACACTCCCAGGGTCTGAATGAGATGAGACACAGTGAATCAGTCAGCAAAAGGTGAAAAGTAAAATAGTGGTCCAGCAACAAGTTCTGATGCCTCAGAAATAGAACTTTCTAATTAGCACTCCAGATGATGCTGAACGACCAAATGTTTGGAAAAGGTTGGGTCTTTTAAGGTTAGCATCTGCCTGCCATGCTGTTGTCAACTGCCTGGCAAACACTTATTGTGAATGGGCACATAGTCACAGGGTTTAGTCCTGACCTAATTCTACAAAGTTCAAAACTAAGGATGATTTCACTTTCGGGAAGGAGAAACACATTCAAAGTTTTCCCATCATCTGCCCACCCGGCTCAGGGAACACTCTTTTTCCTGAAGTAGAATCACATACAGCTGATGCACCATTCTGGGACTCAGCAGCTCCCCTGTAACCCTTCTTTGGGTTACTGAGCAGCAGAAAGGGATGTTCTTTATGGGCTCCAGATATGAGATTGCTGCAATTTCTCAAACATCTCTGCAATTTTTAGACAAAAACAACAACAACAACAAAACTAGAATATGATAGTTCTGAGGCCAGGTAAGGGGAAATTTTCTAATGTCGGGTAGCTTCTTGATGCTCTTAGAGCAGACCTTTTTTGAACTTGATTTAGGCATATGGGTAGGGACCCAGAGCCCTGAGCCATGTTCCCAGTGGAAGCACTGATGACGTTGAGGCTAATAGAGTCACACTGCAGTCTGACTGATCTTTTCAGATTCCAAGCAAAACTCCCCCAAATCCTTGCCAACATTTGTCTGGAATGCCCTTTCCTAGTTGGGTGAGATTTGACCAAGTTTTCTGGCAATCCTCATTGCCTTGGGAAATCCTCAGCTTTTCTCAGCTGCCTTTCTGAAGTCCCTCATCTCTCGCCCCTGCTAAGTGGGGAGCACTCCAAAGGACTCTGCTGAGTCTTGTTGACTTTTGATTCCCCACTCCCAGGGACAAGTGATCATCTACACCAGTTGTTTTGTCAGAATGGGGAGCAGGTCCGAAGGATGAATAACCTTTAAGCATTTACCTACAATTTATACCTTGACTCCTTCCAAAAAAGATTTAAGGTCGTTTCCCCTGTGAACATTTATACCCATGCGATGAGTAGTTGAAATAAAGCTAAATGAGGCAACACACTACATAAACCATAAAAATCTTAATACCCCTCAGTTTACTAATCTGACCTCTGAGAATTCTCCCTGAGGGATTAATTCAACAGAAAACCCAAACAAACAACATTCAAAAATGCCTGGTGTTTGTCAGAAATAATAAAGGGTTATATCTAATCAGGGAAACATACACACAAAACACCAAATCCAACTGTGAGATTTTATTAAGGAAATAATGGTCCATCAATAGGATGAGATGTTATGTAGTCATTAAAAATGATTATGTATATTATATAACAGCATGTAAAATGTTTATGATGTGACATTAAATTAGCAAATTAGATCACTCTATGATTGCAACTGTGTCAAATGTTATATATCCATATGTATATACATGTGGACAAAAAATATAAAAAATAATCAGACATAAAAATAGTTTTATTAAAATAGGGGATATTTAAAATGCCTTCTAATGCTGCTCTCACACTGCTTTATGAGGAGTTTATTTGGTTAAGAGGGAATAGCTCAGAAACCGTGCCAGGTTCTGCAATAAATGGGTGCCCACTTGATCAACGGCATTGTGATGAACAGATTGGATTTTCCTCCCAGTCCACCAAGCCACTGACATGTTTCATTTTTATTTTGCACTGATTCTTCCGTTAGCCATACAGAGACTGTCTGAATATCCTGAGGGCAGATTCTCTCTTATGCACCATTACACCTCTGCCACTTACTGTGCCTGACACAGTCAATACTCAAGAAGTATTTATTGCTTCCCAAGCTATCCAATACGTGAAGGATTCTACCTCCTAAACATCTCTTGAAACCTTCACCTTCACCTCTTCTGCCTTTCTTCAGTTCTTTGTAACTTCCCCCTCGGATTCTAACAATACTGTTGCAACTGGTCCCACAGCATCCATCTCAAAACTCTCAAGACTGACTTATCCAAGTTTCTTAAATGTGCCCTGCTCCCATAATCCAAGCCCTCAGCCCTTCCTCTCCTTATCTATCAGGTAAATTCCTACTTCTCTAGAAGTAAACTTTTACTCCTGTAAGAAGTCATTCATGACCCATATTCATAGATTTTATCACACTTTATTACAGTTCGTTCTCAACTGGGGAGTGATTTTGCTCGACCTCATCCTGGGGATATGAGGCAATGTCTAGAGCTATTTTTAAATCATCACAACAGGTGGGGTAGGGTAGTGTGTGTGCTTACATCTAGCAAGGAGAGGCCAGGGGTGCTACTCGACACCCTACAGTGCACAGAACAGCCCCAGACAACAAAGAAGCATCTGTCCTGAAATGTTGATAGTGCCCAGGCTGAGAAAACAAAACCCGCTCTATTTTCATTGTCTTTTCAGTTAAATGTCCTGTTAAACGGTGACCTCCTTATAGCCAAGACTCTGTCTCTTCAACTTTAGATGCCCAGCCTCTCACAAGGGGCCTGCTGGCAAATGGTAAGAACGCAGTAACTCTTGGCAGAAAAATGGGTGAATGAATTAAGAAATGCATGAAAATGCTACATTTAAGAATATTTTAAGAGACAAATATGCCCATGATCTCTCCATACTCTCTTATATTATTAAAACATATACAATGACTTCCATAGGATCCATCATTTATTCTATTAAATTCACCACCTCCCAGATTCTCTTCTTTCCTGGTGGACATTTAGAACTCTGAAGTACGAGTTCAAGCAAACATTCTTTTACAAATGAAATAACATCTTACCATGTTCTAAGCCTAAATTTCAGGGATTTGTAGAAGATTGTTTCTTTGCCTGGAATAAACACATTGAATTGGGGGGAAATGTGCAAATTAATCATATGCAGAGAGCTCATTTGCGATGTGTGAGTTCCATGGAGTGATTTAAATGTTTCAGGATCTTACAGACACAGTATGTGTTTATACCCTGAATACATTGAAAACAGGTGACAACCTTAGCATAACCAACTACCCAATTACTTGAACAGCAGAGGGTGGGAGGCAGGGATAGCTGATGCCAAAGTGCATATGTCCGTGTCAAGCAGAAAAGATAGTAATATTAATTAACAAGGTAAGTTGACAGCTCTATGCTAACACACAAGTCACTCAGCTATTTCTTTAAATTTTTTAATGTTTATTTTTGAGAGAGAGAGAGAGAGAGACAGTGTGAGTGGGGAGGGGCAGAGAGAAAGGGAGGCACAGAATCCGAAGCAGGCTCCAGGCTCTGTGCTGTCAGCACAGAACCCAATGTGGGGCTCAAAGTCGCAAACCACAAGATCATGACCTGAGCTGAAGTCGGACACTTAACCAACTGAGCCACCCAGGCATCCAGAAAACCAGAGGGAGTGCTTACCCCAGCCCTTCCTGGCTAATGAGTAGGCTGCGATGGCCACTAATTCATTGTACTAATGTTGGCTTTTCCTACTATCCAAAGTTCATCCCAACTTCCGTACTCTCTTGTGAAAGAGTCACCCCCTACCCTCTCTTTGTTTTGTGTCCCCTAATATATCTCCCAAATCCAACAATGTTTCCAAGTATTATGAAAAGTCTGCTTCCTACAGCACATATCTCCCTGCTTCCCTAACTAAAAGATTCCTCCCAGGAATTTCCCCCACCCCACCCCTGCCTGCTCTCCAGCTACTGGCCTCTTTATTGATTCTTCAAATTAATTTTTTATCAGTGTTACAGTCCAATCTTTTCCATCACACCAAGGAGCTTAATATTCATGCTACAAAACGAAGTTGAAAATGAATGCTTGATTAAAACCAAGGTAATCCCATCATCCAATTCAGATTTAATGCTCCATACACTTTGATGATGGAGAGGTGTTGATTTCTCAAGTGGTAAATCGGGGGGGGGGTGCGTTTCAGAAAATACTGTAACTGTTTCTTTACTTGAAAGTGAATCCTTTCTGGATACCTTCAGAATATCTTTCTGGCCCAACTGTCCCCAAAACATCTTGAATAGGAAGCTGTTCCAGAATACCCAGGTTTGAATTTCATGTCTGTGAATTGCTACCTGTGTGATTATGACGGGGTCAAATTATTTAATCTGTCTGAGTCCCAATCTCTTCATAATTAAATTGAGGTACTATTGCCTATTGGGATAATACTATGTACTTTGTATGATTTTTCTGAAAAATAAATGTTTGTAAGAGGCTCAGGCTTCATCTAGCCTATATTTAGTATTGAGTACATTTTAGATTTTCAGAACAAAACAAGGACAAACAATAAACTCTTTGCTATGAGTTAATTCTGGGACACATTTTTAGAGACAGTTCACCTGACTATGGGGGGAAGGTCCATTGTGGTTGTTTCTTAGGCTCAATTTTGAGAGAAAAATCAAGGAGAGGATTGGCTCAAGTTTCCCAGAAGGCCCAGCAATGTGGTGGCCCTTGGATACTTTCACATAGGAAACGTTCTGAACAGCCTGTATTAACAGTTAGCTTGGAAGAGCCAAAGGAGGAACCCCTTCCATGCTCAGGGCTGTTTCTCTAAAACCTAGATTTATCCAGCTTTCTACCTTCCATGTGGAAAGTGTGCCAAATCACACAAAAACTAACAGGCAGTCGGCCAACATCCCCCCCAGCCCCTTTGCTAGCTCTCTCTGCAGTAACTGAAAGGGATACAGTTCTGTTACCTCCCCAGAGCTGGGAGCTCAACTGCAAAGTCAGATCAGCCCCCCTTGCCCATAGTCTCCTTTCCTAACCTTCTGCTCTCCATCCCCTGCAGTGTTGCCCTGGCAGAGCTGGCCACACCGCTAACACCCCTGATTCCTCACCCAAACTCACCTTTTTCAGTTTGACCACACCCTCCTGTGTCTCATAGTCCGTGGTGATTTCAAACAATTCCATACCGTCTCCATCAACAATATTGTAGGTGACTAAACCATTTTCTCCAATGTCTGGGTCTTTTGCCTTTACTCTTCCTACTTCCTCCCCGGGGACAGCTGCTTCTGACACAGACATCTGGTATACGCCTAGAAGAAGAAGACATCTATTTTTATTTTCCCTTTTATTTGGCAGCTGTAAGACTTTAGATTTCATTGAATCCCAATAAATTTCTCAAAGGGTTTGAAATTGAACTTTCTATTGATTGAAAACATGAAAGAAGTGAATGGCTGAGCAAGAAGATCCCACATGGCCTGCTTGTCAAAGAAATGTGTTCTACAAAGGATGATAAAACAGTATCGGGGTCCAGGGTCATGTAGTGGGGTCACCTGCCACAAGTAAGAAAGGAAAACAATGCTCAGTTACATTTCCCATCAAGAAGTGATGGAGGACCATGTATATATCTTTATACATTCAAAGAGCAAAGTCTTCTTTTCGTGTCTTCAGGATGGTTCACGAATTAATTCCAAGGCACTGCCAGGTACCCAGAAAAACCTCCTTCTCTGTTTGAGAACCTCCCACGGCTCCATATTTTTTTTTAAAAAATCAAATGCAAATTTAATCCTTATCAAGGTCATGAGCCTACTAACTCTATATGTGACTCTCCTCTTACTTTGCCTCCTTCACCATTTGATCAAGCACTACCTTATCTGGAAAGGTTTCTCACAGTATGGTCTGTCCATATATATTTATTTTATATGTACTCGGAACCTAATATATGCCAGGTGCTGCTCTAGGCCCTGGAGACTCAGTAGTAAATGGACTCGTCAAGTTTCTTCCCTTAATGAGGCACACTGAAGAGGAACAAGAAAGCAAATGATATACTGTGATGTCATTGCTAGAAAGAAGGAAAATAAAGTAGGATAAGTGGTAGAGGGTAATGAGACAGTGAGTATGTGTGACTGTGTGTATGAGTGTGTGATGGAGTGTGAAGGGGATCACACCATCACTCATGTGTGAATGTGTGTCTGGGAGTGGGTATGTGGTTGTGTGGTACACATATGCATGGATGAGTGAGAGTGTCTATATGAATATGTCGTGTGTGTGTGTGAATGTATACACTTGTGTTACATGTGCTGTGTGAGAACAAGAAAGAGGGAGAACTGAGAATGATTTGGAATTGGTTGGTCACAGAAGACATCCCTCAGAAGAAGGCATCAGAACGGACTGAACAATCAATCACATGAATCTCTGGGGATAAAAATTACAGAGAAAGCAAAGACGAAATGGCAAAAACCCTGGAGTAGGTACATGTTGAAGACATACAGAAGCCAGAAGACAAGTGTGGCTGGAGCCTTCTGGAAGAGGTGACGGTACATAGGTAGGCTGGGGCCCATCTATGTAAAAAGGCCATTGTGGAATGGTTCTATTTGAACTTGAAGGAAGCCACTGGAAGCTTTTCAGTAGGGAAGCCAGATTTGAAATGATCTTATCTGTATTTCCACATTTTAAAAATATTCTACGGGAAACAATATGGAGAAACAAGGGCTGGGAACTTTGTCTCTTCCACTTCAAAGCTGAGTGGTTTGGGGCAAGTTACTTAACCTCTTGTAAGTTTTAGCTTCCCCTTTCTATGGATTCCATCAGTTCCAGTATGCTGTCTATGTTTATCTGTATTATGTGGCTTTGAATGTTTTCAGGTTGGACCCATATTCAACTTTATCACGCCAGAACCTGCCCAGTCAAGGACAACTGGGTGGTGTAGTCTCTGTAGATAAGCTCTGTAAATAATTACCAATTTACAGGCAGGCTTAGGGAAACCTGCTCTGAGTTGGTTTTCTCCAAATCTCATTGGAGTTCATGGCAGTGAAACTAGCATCTGCAGTATAGCAATATAACTTTACTATATGACTGCATGTGAGCAAAGGCATTAATGGCTGCATGCTAATAATCCTGTTCGGCCTTTTCCTTCTAGCATACCGAACAATTCTGCAGTGTGGATAATGGAGCATGTAGTTTCTTAGAATGCTATATGAGCCTTAAGCTTATTGGAGATGCTGAACTTAGTGCCTGATCAGGCAAAGCAGTCTTTCTTCACCTCTTTTGGGACTCCATGAGAACTGGTTACTGCCTTGTAATCCTATCTCAGTGTGTTCCTTGCATAGATTGCTGTCTTTGGATTCCTCTGAATGACTGGTGTGCCTTCCTGGGGCCATGTTTGTGTGCCTTCCTTGCTCCCTCATTTGCAAAAATTGCCATCCCTCTGACAAAAAACTCCCAGGTTCCACCAGCTACTCTCCTAATCTAGTGAAGATGACATTTTCGTGGTGAAACATCCCCCCACACACCCATGGATTAGTGGCACCAGCATCTTTATGATCACACATACCTTTGTCTATATCTATGTATCTATGTAAACAGATGTGTGTTCAAGCTCTGGCTTTGCTACATTCTTATTTATTTATTTATTTATTTTTTAATTTTAATTCCAGTATAGTTAACATACAGTGTTAGTTTCACATGTACAATATAGTGATTCAACGATTCCATATATCACCCAGTGCTCATCACAAGTGCACTCCTTAAT